CCCTTGTTCTCATAGGAAGTACATGAAAGCCAGGCTGAGCAATGTTTATAGGTTAACAGAGCATTCTGGATCATTGGGCAGTAGTCCTACTGCTCCCCCAGTGTAAACAGAGATTTTGCGGGATCGCATACAAAGAGAAAGGAAGATCATGTGGCAGCTCCATTCCAAGGTCTTATACAGACAACTTCCGGGCACACAGTAGCCACGTCACTCACCTTTTAAACTTCCCTTGACAATTTAGGCCCCGTTCACACTGAGCGGATTGGCGCACCCTCAGCGCAACCTCTTCTTCCCAGGCCTACAGCAGTCTAAGGACGGCTGACATCATCATGTCTATTGCAGGTCCATTATAAAAAGCTGGCGTTCTTCTTTAATAGAGCTAAGCATTTATTAAATGGGGGTTTCCACACATTTACTAAGCTAAATAAAAACTCCCTTGGATAGTGAACATGCTCTGCTACTTTAGTAAATCAACAGCATAGAGTTTTAAATGCAACTTTTGTAAGTACCTAAGTATGTTTTTATATAAGCCTCTTGTAAACCTCTGTAGAGCAGCATTCAGGAGGGCTAGCACTTGGAGCCAATCAGAAGCCAGCATTGTGCTGACAGAGAAAATGCTGACAAGAAAAGAGAAGAGAAAGCTGACCTCATCAAGGTGCTGATGCTTCATGGTGCAAACACGGGCCAGGGGCGTGGAAGTTATCAAGCTGTATTGCTTCACTGCAGTAAAGAAATGTGATGTCAGCAACCTGGTTGTGCTGTCTGTCAGGGCAGTGTAAATCTGATGATGGTGTTTACTGAGCTGATTGCAAATAATATCCCTAAAAGAAGCATAGCAACAATATTTGCAGGGTCTATAAAAAGTATTCATTCCATTGGAAGTTTTTTGTTGTATTTGCATTAAACATTGAAGCACAGTGGATTATTGTTACACTAAATAAAATATACTCTTTAATGTCAAAGTGACAAAAGATCTCTGCAAAGTGTTTAAAATGAACAATTTAATTAACTTGGAAGTGAATACTTTTTATAGGCGGTTTATAATAATAATTAAAGGGTAAGACATAAATCAGGGTGTTTTGTTTTAAGCTACACACCATACCAGAGCTACCAAACTGATGTTCAAATACAACTGCCTGAGCCTGAAGTAATGAAGATGAATAGACAATGTATTTGAATAAGGGTGGCTGCAGACAATAACCAGGAATGAAAGGAGCTGAAAGATCTGCTTGATCTGGAAGGATAAAAAACCCATCTTAATCGCTACTGTTCCTCTTCTCGTAGCCCTGCGCAAGCCATTCACTCCCCAACCCTTGTTCTCATAGGAAGTACATGAAAGCCAGGCTGAGCAATGTTTATAGGTTAACAGAGCATTCTGGATCATTGGGCAGTAGTCCTACTGCTCCCCCAGTGTAAACAGAGATTTTGCGGGATCGCATACAAAGAGAAAGGAAGATCATGTGGCAGCTCCATTCCAAGGTCTTATACAGACAACTTCCGGGCACACAGTAGCCACGTCACTCACCTTTTAAACTTCCCTTGACAATTTAGGCCCCGTTCACACTGAGCGGATTGGCGCACGATTTCCACCGCAATATCGCAGATTTGTGCCGCGCAATATCGCGAGAAGTCGCCGGCCAATGACTTTCAATGAAGCTGTCTTAATGTACAGCTCCATGTCGCCCATCGCGGTCGCAAGTAGGACCATTTTTTCGGCGGATGTTGCACGATTTTTCTATTTTTTAATGCAGCGTGACGGTGAAGGTTGCGCTACCGTCGCTGGATCGTCGCACTATCCCGGGCGCACGAAACCGCTCCTAAAGACAAATCTGAAGTAGACTGGGCTACTAGGGATGGAGAAGTGTATTGCAGTCTGATCGCCCTGTGTTTAAGTAGCTATAAACAACATTGTTTGGCTGATAATAACCATGCATATAGGCTCCTTTAAAGTCTATGTCTAGCAACAGAAATGCCTTCTTCAAGACTCATATTGTACTGGGGAACCATTTATCTAGTTTAACTTGAGTCTATGTATTCAAGAGGACCTTTCTCACAGTCCTGTAATTTGGCACTGTTGACACACATCATTAAGACTCTTCTTAATGAGCAGGCAAGACACAAATGTTGAAGATAAAGCTCTGAAGTCACAGCAATCCTTTACCTGCTTGTCAACAAAAGAAAGCTCAAACACAGGTATCTGATGCACAGAAGTCACACATATTATCCCAACAGATTACATTGTTTTCCCTTTCTTAGCACATTCCCTCTGATAATATGTGAAGCTGGAAAGAGCTTAGCAGACTAGCTGCCCAAAAGGCAAGACAATCTTCCAATTTTGAAATTCTCTTTTTGATTATGATATTATTTTTAATCTGGTAGACTGTGTTTGTTATCGAAAAGATAGCGAAAAGAAGTGATTGTCCAACTTGTTGCCAAATTTCACTGTGAGTGGAGCCATTCCTTCAAACTGAAGGATCCAAATTACAATGCGTTCGGCAAGAACTGCAGTGGGTCTGTTGAGGAGTCGATTCATGTGCGTCAGTCTCAAGGAGAGTTATCTGCCTGTTTATAGACATCATAAGGTTGGCTATATAGAGTCCGATCCTGGACCAATTGCTTTAATGAATGTGGTGCCATTCACAGACCATTTCAGCACCCTACGATAATGGAAAGGTGTGCATTGGGCATACTGGTGTGTTTGTATTAATCACAGTTGGACTTATGCAAGAATCTGAATATTCAAATTCCTGTATGAGCCCAGTCAGGACTGGTTCTCTTTAAGCTCCCCCTACAGTACGAAAGGTACGTGCAACTTTTGCCAATCAACAACTGACTTTGAAATGGTAGCATCATGAAAGTGGGACTTACAATAAAAAGGTAATAGTTAAAAAGGAGAATTTAACAAAACTGGAGCAGACAAAAACTGGAGCAGATGTGCATGGCAAACAATCAGCTTCGCTTTTTAGTTTGTTCAGTTAAGATTTGAAAATTAAAGAGAGAAGCTGATTGGTTGCCATGCACATCTGCTCCAGTTTATGTCTGCTCTAGTTTTCATAAATTCCCTTCAAAGTTTTTCAGTATATCGCTCAGACTGTAGAACCAGTGTAGATTTTTCATTCAATATACACTCAGAGGAAGAAGCACAGACAAGAAGGGGCATAATACTGTATAACAACGATATCTATACCAGGTGTTTTACAGTAGCTGGAAGGACTTCATGCAGTATGGTTACCACAGTACATATTTTCATACACAACTCTATTTGCATAATCTCCAGCTCCCTGATGATGCCGCTAACAGTAAATCCGAATCATCTGTATTACAGAATGTTATTGTGGGGGCTAATTGCTCAGTGAAGCAAAGAGAATTTATAATTAATTCCTGCTCTAGCGTACGGTTGTCCCTATACAAGGATACAAGAGATACATTATTTCACTGTTATCATTATCATATTGACCAAAGCATAGTTACATATGGCACACATAATTCGGTGCTTTGCAGGATTTATGAAAGTGCCTTAAACAGTCAGGAAATATATCCGACTAGTCAATTTAGAGTAAAGGAGGAGAACAACCAGAAGTGATATTTCAGATTTTGGTAGGAGCTTGAGAAACTCAATATTTTATCGTGTCTTCCAGAGTTTGCTGC